CGTTCCTGGACAGGTGCTGGAGCAAATCTAATGCATTTAGGTGAAAGAATAAAACAAAAAGCACCCCCAAAATCTTACACATTTAAGTTCAGATGGGGAAGAAATGCATTCAGAATTACTATTCCGCTAACTGCACATCCCCAGGTACTGAAAAAGGCATAGACCACATCACTGTTTTTGTTCATGTACTTCTTTTTTTTCACAATATCATTTTTAATTGCTGATCTCTTTTAGATTTAAAAAATTATCTCCCTGTATTCTTCTTCCCTGTACTCTTAACAATGTTCTTTTCTGTGTGGATACAATTTCTAGCTCATGCACATACAAAGACATGGACAGCTTCAGGAAACAAGGAAGAAAATAGATATGCAAATGTAAGCATAACATAACTTAAAAAATAACTTTAAAATAGTTTTTCAGAAAGATCTAAGCCTTGAGTTGAAAAGACCATTTTAACCTTTTTGAAGATTCTTCACTCTGTTTAAGGCAGCTGCCTATGAGCCTTTAGTATAAAGCTGCCACAGCATTTGCACAGCTGAAGAGTCCTAAATCTATCTCCATAAACCCTTCGAAGACAAGAAAACCTGAATTTAGACACAGATTTGGCCCTCTTGATGTCCTCTGCTAACACACATTCAGAGCAGACGTGTGTAATGTAGCAGACTATGCAAGTGGCTGGATGTCTAAAAGATGCCTCTTTTGGATTAGATAAATATTTTGTGCACTTTAGAAATCATTCAGCCACGTGAGCTGAGGACTGAATCGCCCTGTGATGATGTAATAAAGTAGCTTATATTTACAGAAGATATTCAAAATCGATCTGAATTGACAGTTTCACATGTTTTAAAAATAATGATTTTGCCTAAAATTTCCTCTTTTTCTTCCTTTCACAACTTTTAAAAGTGAGACTGTCTCAATGCTTTCTAGCTTGTGTATTCTCATAACCATTTCATTTCTACTGTACTTGGGATTTTAAAAGATTTAAAAAATAAGAAATTCTTAGACATTTACTAGCAGCAGCTCATGACTCCATGAGAAACTAGTTTGAAACCACATAAAGCACTACAGAAGGAATCACCTCGTGGGATCCGTGCAGGGAATCCAGTTCACCACCGGATCGGGGATATCCTCCAGGTAGGGGTAGATGGCTTCTCTCGAGAAACGCCAGCCATAAATGCCGTCTTCAGGAGTCACAATGATGTGAGCGCCCTGACACAAGAAGCTCCATTAAGAATTCACCCATCAACAGGTAACCAGGAGGGTCAGCAGGAGAAGGAAACAGGAATTAACAGCGCTCACAATACACCTGGTACCTGCTGGGCAGCTTCCTTGACGGCCCCTTCCAAGACATCCATGTTTTTGTTCATGAGGGCCAAAGCATCGTCCGGAGAAACGGGCTCATCAGTGGCATCTGGCAGGATGACCGCGTGCTCGTAGACGGCCGCAATGAAGGTGTCAGAGCCAAGGGCCTGAAGGGCTGTGAGAGCAAACACGGCAGCGTGCAGGAGAGGCTGGGAAGGGAGCATGGCTGGTGCCTCGCTGCTCCTGGATCGGGCATGGGGAATATGAACCAGACAGAGAGAGGAGGAGTAAAGACTAATAAGTTTGCTTTGGAAATAATCTCCTATTGAGTAATCTGGGAGGGCAAAGTATAGCTCTGCCAACAATCAGGACATTTATTTATAGTAAGAGGTCAAAGAAACATCTCTAAGAGTTGGATCTTTTTTTCCAATTTGAAATACATTTAACTAAAACGTGAACAAAAGGCTAAGAGAGTATGCCAGGAGCAATTCCGATCGACGAGGGGCTCTGAGGTATAAGCACTAGCACACTCTACACATCCCCGCCAGGCTTCCAACCTCATCTTGGGACAAGCCCAGACTCCCGTGGTTAGGGCACACTATTCCATACAACCCTACTGTGTGTGACTGCCATCAATTAAAAGCTCCACCAGTGCTCAAGGCACTCCTCCTGCGTGATGTACAGCCCTCATGCTTCAGAGTGCAGCTGATTCATCTAGGCTTATAAGACATGTGGTCCTACCATGTCTCTTACCTTTGGTCAATGACTTATTATAGTTGTAGCAGGTTCCCTGAGAGTATAGTTGCTTCCTGGGCTCATACTGCAATATAAACTAACCCTTGACCTGTGTTGATCTCAATGCCTAGAGCTAACATAGTCCCTTGTTTTGTGAGAAATAATTAAATAACACAGTTGGTTTTTTACTGTTCTTGTCACAAAAGGCAGGATTTTTCCTCACGAAAGGCAATTTTTGTACAGCAGAGGAAGGAACTTTAGGATTCCCCATGTCTGGAGTCTGGAAGTCACCCAAGAAAAGGCTGTGGGCAAGCAAAGACAGGGGACTTAAAGGTATCTCTTGCACCAAACCTGGGAATTCCTCAGAGAGGCAGAAAGCCGACACCAAGAGATGCAATCACCCTTCCCGGAAAGTCTCACAACATGAAAGGCAAGAGAGCTGCCAGCATTGAGCAACTCTGCCTTATGCCACTGGCAGAGAAGTCACCGAGAAGTCACCACTGTGCTGCAGCAGGAGAAACATCTTACTAGATATATTCAGAAATGGTTCAGGCATGGCATTGCTGTAGTAACACAGCTCCAGGCAAGTCCAGCTCACAGCAACAAGCAAGCCAGAGTTTGGTAAATCTCAGTGAAGATCAGCATGGACACATTGCTGCCACAAACTCGAGCGCCTGGGGTGTAGGCAGGGCCCTGAGCTCAGTGCTGCTGGGTGAGCACTGCCTGTGCCACCTCGGCTCAGCACAGCACCGGCTCAGCATTGTGGAGCCTTTTGTGGCTGCTCCACATCACAAGGGGACAGCCACAGAGGCTGTTTGCTTGAGCAAACCTGTCAACACACTGCTCAGTAACTGAACTGTGAAGATTTCTGTCCCCAAAAGTTTCTGTTGGAAGAGTAACATGAATGAGTCGCAGTTTCTGAATTTGGCTTATTGCAGCCTCCTTTCTTAGGTTTACAGATGTCTCTAGCAGGAATCTTGAAGCTAAAGCTACACATGCACAGAAATCAGCCATATCTGGTTGCCCAAATTTCTTACCTTTTTTGGTTCTGACTCAGTTTTCAGGTGAGGAAACACTTTTTTCCTGCACTTCCCTCAAAGAAGTGTTTATTGTTATGGGTGGTTACACTCAGCCTTATCTTTTATATTGATGGAGTTGGTATGTGGATAATGAGTAGACTTCCACAGGATTACTTTCTGTATGCTTGACTCACTCCACACAGTTACACATTTCACAATGATAAATATTACGCAATCTTTCTAGCAAAAATAATTTAATGCTACAAAGACTATGCCAGTCTTCTGTAGGGAAGTAACTCAACACACAAACATACCTAAACCAAACCACAGTGGCCTTGAGCCAAATCCTAAATTCAAGATACCCACCGAGTTCATGATTGGGACTGTATTCCCTTAGCCAGAGGACTGGTGTCAGCAGTGAACAAACTTGAACAAGTCTCTCAGCTCTAAGACTGGTCACGCACTCCTGTTGAGTCCCTTCTGAGTTGCACGATGAGACCTTCTTGTGTGCCATAGTTCCCCTTAAATGCAGATCTTTTTCCTGGGAGACAGTTGTGGTATCACCCACCAGGATCCCAGGAGACAGGTACAGAGCCCGTGCTGAGTTTGTATCCATAGGAAAAGGATCACGCTGGATAATCCCTTACCGGACTGAGATCAGTCTGTGGTCAGACAGTAACTGACTCCAAGAGTGAAGAGGGTTTTAAGAGAGCGTGGCTCGAGCAGCCATGATGTTGAGTTTCCATGAGTCAGCGTACATGGTCTCAGGCTTTTGATAAACATGTCATTACATTAGACATGACACTATGTTCTGTCACATGTGAGTTTATATTTAACATCTGGAAACAGAAGAGGTCGTATGGTGTATGGCAGTAACAATCACTGCTGGAGTCTGGACAGTATTTGCATTCCCAGCATCTTGCCAGCTCCATGACAGAAGCACATAGGACTGAGAGCCTTGAGAGCACCATGCTGAGACCAGTGTGGGGAAAAGGAAGGAGAATTTACACTAATAAACATCTCTGACCACTCTGAAAGACACATTCACAGAATTTGCAAATATTTATGCTTATATGCTGAAAAAAATGTTCTGTCCAAGAAACAGTGGCAGGTTTTGTTTCATGGCTGGCTCTTAGACCGGAGTCCTTGCTCAGCCTCCGTGATTCACTGTTCTGTGCTGCCATGTGCCACATGATATGCACCAGTGGCATAAAGTCAATATAACAAAAGCAATACAAAAAATAATAAAAAAATCTAAGTGGGGTAAAAGAGCAGACTTGAATAGGTTAACGTAAGTAACTGTGTATCAGAGACAAAGCATTACTGAGGATTTTGTAGAGCTACCTGCCATAATCTTTCACTGTTTTATTTACTGGTACCATAATAATCTGCAATTATAAAATATGTAATGTGATTTAAATAAGAATGTATCCTCTAGCCCACAACGCAGGTTTTCTAGGGGCTAGAAAAATCAGCCGATAAAACAGAGACAGAAGAACAACTACTAATTTGCACTAATGAAAGATTAGTAATCTTATGATTATAGAAATTGATGCTTCTCAATAAGTAGTAGCAACAAAATCATACTACTGCATTACTAAAAAACAAAGCACAGTGACAAGATATTTGTGCCACTGGTAATAAGAAGTAGTTGTAGTAGAGGATGCTGTATCTCACTTGGACGTCAGATTGAGAGTGTACAGCTTCAGTTATGGTATTATCATGAGAATGCTTGTGGTTGTGGGTCTACTTTCAGGTGATCCTTTTCATACCACCGTCCAAAAAGTGCCACAGTGATGACTGGTTGTGTTGGTCTTGTCTTACTTATCAAACGCCCATCATTTAATACCTTATTGATAAAGGTAAGAGAAGGACATGATTAGAGGATTACCAATACGAATGTGCTAAGAGCTCAGAAAGATATGACAAAACAGGAAGAAGTTGTGTCAAACCATATCTCTCACTGAAACTAATGACTTCATTAGCAAGTATTTAATTGATCTGATTGCTCACTACGAGCAAGCTCACTTTGGCTGTGTTGAGACAGTTTATTCCATTACTAACTCACAGAGAACCTAGCATGACACAGCTCCAGCATGTCCCATTACCTCAAACTCCCCGGGGGCCAGCTGCACCCCGCTGTACAAGACTTCTGGAAAGACGTAGTTAGTGCCAAACGTGCCGCTGAGGGAGAACATCTCAAACCTGGTCTCAGCTGTCTCCACGGGCTGCCCGCACGTGTTCGGGTCTGTGCTCTTGCACTTGAGCAGCGTGCATATCTGTGGGGAGAGGACAACAACATATTTAGCAAGATAGAAAGACTGGTAGGAAATCCATGTGTCATCAAAGCTAGTGTGTGTCAGAGCAGGTGACCATCACAGGATCTCTTTCACAATCTTTAAGCAACTGCTTTTTATTTGTTGCTGCTTTTTTTTTTTTTTTTTTTTCCACCTTGGTGTCTGATTAGGGATATTCCAGACCTGCACTGCCTCAGTAGTTAGAAATAATCTATTTCTGAGGTAAACGCTGCCAGAGCATTTTATTTCATCCCTGAAGCTTAATCCTGCCACTACCATGATTTCTTCCAACTACTAGTTCTCTTATTTGAAGCTTTTTTCCCCACATATCTTGGTAAGATAAGTTCGTGAATGGAAATTTTAGGCAAATCAAACAAAATTCTCCTCCTGAGTACATTGTGCAAATGTACACACAAATACTTTTACTGGTATTTGTACATGTTGCTAATGACAGTTCATTAGCAGGCCTGATAGTCCATGGGAAATCTGAATCTGATGTTCTTTATCCAACTCCTGGTAAATATATGTCAAGGTGATGAGGTTAGCATTCTCTGTTACAGTTTTGTGCTAGTAGTTGAGCACACAGAGGAAAGTAGAAATGGCAATGTTTTCCTTTCTTCCTTGAAGTTAATTACCCAGTTGACAAATGTCTATGGACATGGAGAGATATGAATTAAGGCTAGGACTCCTGTGAAGATTCAGAGGATATTGGTTGATTTTGCTCACAGGTGATGGAATTTTTCTATTTATGTTGGATACTGGGGGACAGAATAAGAGTATTTGCAAATGTCAGAATTATTGTTCATCAGCAAGTATGGTTTTGTGTTGAAATGCAAATAAGCAGAGAAATAAAGAAAAAATCTCTCAGAAAAGAAAAAAAGAGGGGAAAGAAGAGTAGAAATTCCTGCCTTGTCTAGAAAATTTGGTATTGGTAGAAACCATCTGGTAGCTTCCACAATCATAGAAATAAATTTTCCAAGTGAGTTCACCAAGAAGTGAATTTACTCAAACTACCTTTTTAAATGTATTAGATGAGCTATTTGCTGGCTAAGAACTCCCCTCATACCCTGAAGTCTGTACCAGCTAATATGCAAAGGCTGTTCTGACAAACAGACAAACTAAAAACAAGACCAATCTGCAGGCACAATAACTTAATTGTGAAGTCAAAGAAGGTTTAATAAATCTTTAAACAAATTCAACTGGGATATAACCCACTGTTTTCCCAAACACTTCCTTAAACGAAAGGAAGAATGAACATTTCCAGTAAAAGTGATATGCCATTTCAGTAAACTTCACTGCTATGATTTAAGTAATGACAAAAAATTAACATCTCTGTGACTTTAAACCATCAGAACATCTCATAAATCTAGATCAACTGATTTTTTAGCAGCCAGTATTGCATACCTAAAAAAATAGTGAGTGTGCTCTGGGAACTTAAAAGAGATTTAGAGACCTATCCACCGCATTTGTTGGATTTAAAGGTAAGCAGGCTTGGATGTTTTAGAAAATACTTCCCATTACTAACAAATAGGCCACCAGTACTCTGGCATACAAGCAAGTTACTGTCTTTTTCCTTCACAGAGGTGAAGGATTTTCTCTGTAAAGAAGCTTCCCACAACAAGTAGCCCCCCTCTAAAGAATCATTACCTGCAGATAGTATTGTCCTTCAACAACATGAAGCCCATCAAAAGCACCCAGTACATAAACTTCATCTTGTTTCCCTGTCATCTTGTAGCTCAGGTGACAGCAGAGGTCTTTCTGGCAAGTGGTGAGATTCCCCTCAGGCTTAGTGAGCCCAGTGAAAGTGAACCAGTCATGGAAGATGAGTCCTCCGAATTCATGGTCATTTGATGAGAGTCTTTTGACACTCGAAGCAAATGAGTTCCAGCTGACAGCAGGTGGGGCAGCAAGAGAAAGGCGAGGGTGCGAATCTAATTCAGCAACAAGGAGGCGACCATCCTCAGTTTTCATATTGTAGTAGTATGTTCTGGCTCCTTCTGGTGCATAAATACCACTGCCTGAGGACAGCATAATTTTCAGTCCAAAAAGAATAAGCAATTTCATATTATCGTTTTTATTGTCCCTACTGCTACTTTATCCACTATTTTATAAATAATGCAGAAAATTTTCGTCTCACCAATGGTGGCCATTAGCAACTCAGTATGTAGAGCTCATACTCTGGCAAAAAAATAGCATTTATTTCCCTTGGTGAGGTCTGCTCAATGTAACCAAAGACAGAGGATGTTATGTTATGTTTGTGGTTATGGCCCGCGAGTTCTCTTTTCCCCTCTGTGCAACAGAGTTGTTTGATAATTTCTTTATTGGCAGCTAATTGACATAAAAGGACCTTCTGCCAATTGAGACCATCCAAAACACTACACAGGCAAGTATCACAGGCCTGTCCTGGTGAACACAGAAGGAAATAGCTTCTGTCCAGCTCAATTTATTCTGGCTGAGAACTCTTCCCCAATGTGGGGTATTCACACCTGACCAGTGACAAGTAACAGAGGGGAATCAGAGAAGATCTGACATATCCATCATTGCCGAAGAGCCACACAAAATGGACAACAAGCAGTAGCCTGTCAGGCTTTTCAATTGAGAAGCCCCCAGCCCACACGGCAGTTCCTCTGCTCGGTGAACATACTGCTCTAGCTGAAATATACTACCCCATAACCTCAGCTCTAGAAAATCAGTGCTGCACTCTTAAAAAAAGATGCAGACTTCTTAGCAGTATTACTGCGATAGGTCTGAAAATTTAACATTTTTTTACAACTGTGTTAAATAGAGCTATAAATAAGTTTTTCATTTGTCTGGAATAAATGGATCCACGTGTGTGGTTTACAAGTATATTTACAGCTTGGTACTCAGTCACAGACTTAGAGGTGGAGAGGGAAAAAGTAGGTTTCAGAAGTTTCTACTCAAGTAGAAGGCACAATAACTTACCATCATTTAGAGGCTTTAAAAGAAAAAGGAAAATCCTAAGAAGCTGAGGAGAAGAAAATACCACAAGTTTTCTGTGTCTTGTACAGCACTAATAGGGACAGGATTTGTGAGGCTTAAAATTTGGTGACTGGGCTCTTCACCTTCCAGATAAATACATTATATTCCACTGCAAAATCACCTTGCAGAACAGGGAATAAAGACTCATGGTTATAAAGACTTTTCAGATAGAGTGAGAATTAATTACCTGTCATAGAAAAGCTGGTGTAATGTGTATTGGCAGCTAGGAAGTTGACACCCATGCCCATAGCCCAAGCAGAGTGAAACTCAATGGCAGTCAGAAATGGCAGGACGTTCATCCAGGCCGTCGGGAAGAGCACAGTGTCCACCTGCAACTTGCTCACCAGGACCACGGCAGGCTCATGGAAAAGGATGTCGAAGCAAGTGAAAATGCCAAACTTCCCAAAGGGGGTCTCAAAGGTGACAGCTTCTGGCTCTTTTGGGTAATTAAATTGAGTTTCTGACATAAAGAGATTATACTGTAGGGGAAGGAAAAGAAAGAGAAATTGGTTAAAGACACTTATTGCAATATTATGGAGTAATTCCTTAAAACTGTTCAGAATTACTAGAGAAGTTTTTTGACCTGTTTGAAGCCTTCACATGTAGGCATTCAGGCTAAAATTGTATGATTGCCATAGTCCACAAAAGGTGGATATTGCCCTGGCATCTATCTAGGAAAGCAACTAGTTTTCTGCAGGTCTTTTAGTGTCATAGAATCATACAACAATTCAGGTTGGAAAAGACCCTTGGGATCATCGAGTCCAACCATTGACCCGACACTACAAGTTCACCCCTAAACCATATCACCCGACACCACATCTAAGTGACACTTAAACCCATCCAGGGATGGTGACTCAACCCCCTCCCTGGGCAGTCTATTCCAGTGTCTGACCACTCTTTCTGTGAAGAATTTCTTCCTAATGTCCAGCCTAAACTTGCCCTGTTGCAACTTGA